CAACTTATTGATCGACATTCAGCACTACAAACGTCGCATAAGGAAGATTCCGACCGCATTCCATTCACTCTCACGTTTCACCCTCACAACCACTCAGTTAAATCCATCATTCTTAAAAACTTTAAATTACTTCAAAACGATCCAGAGACAAGCACTATCTTTTCGCAGCCTCCGCTCATTTCATTCAAACGCGACAAAAACATAGGCAATTTTTTGGTCAGAAGTTCTTTTCAGACTAATGACCAACCAGGCACTTTTAAATGCGCTCGTGCACGATGCAAAACGTGTCCTTTCATTCACAACACTGATAAAATATCGGGACCTAAACGATCCATTAAGATCACCGATCACTTCACGTGCACCTCCGCCAATGTAATCTATTGCATAACTTGCACTTATTGCAAAAAGATATACATCGGCGAAACAGGCAGAAGACTAGGTGACCGATTCCGAGAACACCTTCGAGACGTGGAAAGGAATGACAAGGACACATCGAAACCAGTCGCTAGACATTTTAATTTACCTAATCATTCTAAGCAACATATGGCAATCTGCGGTCTTTCCTTACACTTAGGTAGCACGGAAAGCCGTAAAAATCTTGAACAAAAGCTCATCTTTCAAACCGGCAGTCTAAATCCCACAGGGATCAACGAACGCTTTTCTTTCCACTAATTTATTCTTGTTTTTCTCGTTGCCATGTTCCCACCAATAACGTGGCTCCATTTTCTGCCTTTAAAAGCACACACAACCCACAATTCCTTTATTCGCTCCGACGAAGGGCTAACGCTCGAAACGTCAGCGTTTGTAATCGTTGCGGTGGCCAATTTACCATTTCAACTTTGTCATAAATATAATTTATTTAGACATGTTTATCCTGTGGGTGACTGGGTAAAGTATGGAGGCCCAAATGTATTTCTCCACCTGTTAAAAAATTGAACAAGCATCCTAGTTTTTTCACCCTTGATTTGCTGTCTCCGTTAACGTTGCTGTTGTTTTATTTGACCTTTGTATTTAGAATTACGGTATTTTCCTTTAGAGCGGAAAACTCGCATTAGACCACCCTTCTCTTTTTCCATAACAAAAAAATAATAGTGTCCTAGGTTTTTTCCTGGTTTTAATATATTGTTTTGTTATAAATTTTTTTGTTTTATCCTCCTTTGTTTGTTTTTTGTTTGTTTTATATGATATTTTTGTTTGGAATTTCTTCCCTCAGAGAAATCCCCCCCGAAGAAAATTTACGTTGAACAGCCCATTTTTTCTTCATTATTTGTTGTTGTTGTTGTTGTTGTTGCTTTTGTTTTTGTTTTTTTCTTCTTTTTGTTGTTTTTTTAACCCTGTGTACCTATCAATTTTCCGCTAGAATAACCTGTTCCCTCCAGGTAAGTGACCGTCGCGGGAAACTGGTTACAGGTCTCGGTGGACGTGACGTATTCATTTATTTGAACCGTCAAAGATGGCGGCCATAACTTGATCCAATTTATCTTCTTGTTTATGTTTTGCGCTCAGTGAACCGGACTTAAACTAGCCGTTATGACAACACAAAATCAGCCCCAGAAGAAGGTGAGACTTTGTTAATTCAAGCATTGTGGTGCATGGCTTTAGAATAAGTTTATTCTCGTCACTTACTCGAACAGATCAAAATTTTACAACTTCTTCGCGCGATTCAAGCCGAACAGCTTTCGAAGTTGCAGCAAAAGTATCAACTTGAACAAGACCTTCTTGAAGACGTCAGGTGAGTCGAATTCTTGGCCACTTTTTTAATCCTGTAATTTGCCAGAGCAACGCACTTTATATCCTATAATAAATGACTTATTTTTGCTAGAACCTACACAAAGCAGAGGTCCACGATCGAGAGAGACTATGCACAGGTAAAAAACAAACTATTTGTTAGTTCTTGTGTCTTGTTTCATAAGAGAGAGAAATTCGTACAGACCTAGTGACTAACGTTCTTGGGCTTAGTTTGAAATTATTATTAAAATAGTGCAACGAATTCCGAAGCTTTAATTAAGCTTAAATGAGACGGTAATGATTGGTTCGTGAGGTCGGCGCGAAGCAACGTTCACCAGCGTACTTCCTCAGTCTCTTTTCCTTGTCTTTCCCTAACGTTTTTTCACAGAGCAAATCGTCATTATTCTATTTTCAAGCAAAATTTGTATGAGATAAATAGTTCGAATTTAGTCACCAATGATATTACTATTTACATTAAAAAAGCAGAAGCTTTCGAATTTCCGTTTCATTGCATTAAATCCTTTGAAGACTTAGACGAAGGCTCTAGACTGATAGCCTTACAACTTTTTACTTGAGGACGTTCTTGCTGTAATTTTTAATTTTAACTCTGGCGGCTTGTATACTTTTTTCTTATGATATTCCAGCAGCAGCTCGTATCAATCCTTGAATTAGTTTGCAAAATTTTGACGCTACTCGTTCAAAATTACACATGTAGTTATTTCTTGGCATACAAAAAGTGTTTAGAAACTGTCTCCCACCTTGCAAATGTGTGAGTTGGTGTGGGCATATAAGCTATTTTTAGTAAATATAAAGAGCCTCTTCCTTCATGGTTAAGTTTTGTGGATGTTAGAAATATTTGATATTGTTTCCTTATCTCAATTGATCATGAAACAAAAAAATCCTATAAATAAACCAAAATTAATGTCAGCTTGTAATTGTGTTTTATCTGAAAGGTGAAAATGAAAACACATTTTAAAGTATAGGTGTTTCTTTACGTTTGTTTAGGTCAATAGTTTTGTAAATTCTCTCAGCAGTTTTATAATTAACATTTCTGAGAGTGAAATATAATGAAAAGTGCAAACTTCTTTCTTATGGTATTATATTATTGATAGCTAATTACTTTGGTAATTACTTTCACATACTGCTGAAGTATTTCAATATGCTTGATGTTGCATTTTATGGTAGATGTAACATCTATATGGTGTCTAATTTATAGCTGAGATAGGTTCAAGTAATCTATGATGACTGCTAGAATAGAGAATTTTAAACTGAGTGTAGAAAGTAATACTGGATTGCATTGTTTTTCCTTCACTTTGCTCTGTTATTGGTTCACAAAATTTGTACCACTCTCTCAACTAATCTAATGCAAAACTAAAACCATTCATTACTTGGTCACTCATGGTTTTGTGCTCTTTAGGTTTCCTTTCTTCAGTTTAACCATTGGGATTATCCTTTGTGTTTGGTTTTTACAACACTCTAGCTTAATTAAGCTCTCTTTGGGTGTTTTGAATCTAGCCTTGTGTGACAGTCATCAACTGACAGGCAGTGCTGATTCGATAGATTTTTAAGAAATAAATTTAAGAATTTGTTCATGCTTAGCATGTGTATATATTAAGTTATGGATGCATGTGCGAAGTTTGAAGAGCACAAAATGCATAAGAGTAACTCAAGACGCAGCTGAGAGTTACTCTAACTTTTTGAGGTTCTCCAAACTTTCTGCGTGCATCCATAACTCGATATATACACAGCTAAGAGCATGAACATTTCTTTTATAACAGAGCGACAACAAGGATCTGTGCAAAGAAGCTTTTTTATTGTGCTAGAGTGCAAAATTCTCGCAATGCACAAAAAAAAGTAAATAAACTTCCCTATTGGCTGGTCAAAAACACGCCACATTTTATTCTTTGGTTTGAGCAAGAACATTTGATCCAGTTAACCAATAACTGTGAATGAAAAGCTCAAAATTAATGGGAAAAATGGAGAAAATCAAAGCTAAATGAACTCGTGTCACCATAAAATGTTTTAAAAATCAAAGACCTGTAACAGGATAGCAACTCTGCAGCCAGGCAAAAAAAAAATGCTTATGTCATCTTATTTGCACACAGGCGTGCCTAGATAAAAATTTTGTTCATAGTGGCTCAGTAGGATTTGTATAGGGCAAGCATGCATGCTATGTCATCAAATGGGTTGGGTTGTTTTTCATGAGGTTGTTTCTCTTGTCTCTGTTGTTACTTCTTATTATGACACTAACTATTTTGTGTCATGTTGGGGTGAGGGAGGAGGGGTGGGGTGGTGCAGTGACATATGTAAGCTATGTAGCCAAAATCCTGAGATCATAATGGGCTTGTCTAGCTAGCCCAGGGGATATGTTACAATTTCATCCAACTTGGGATGGGTAAACTAAGTATAGCAATAGACTGCTGGCAGTACCATGTCCATCTGGTTCAGCTACTAATGGTACTTGTTAATACTATCTTGAATTCTGGTTAAGTGAGCCTCAAATACATGTGACGAAAGTAATGTAAACCATTTCACAGAAAACCAAAATTTTTTTCGGTAGAAGGAAGGTTTACTATTCTTTTGATTGTTCTGTATTTGACAGATTTTCTTCTTTTTGAGACTGTGCATTTTTTTAATCTTTTTTTTTTTCTTCTTACTAAATCAGCATTCTCTTCACTTTTCCTAATAGGCATTACAAAAACTTAATTCCCAATTTCTTCAGAAAAAAGAGCTGGCTGCAGAAGACTTGACAACAGAAAATGGAAACAAGTAAGCAGTTTAAGGGCACTTCTCTTTATATTGAAGGTCAGCATTCAAGTCTTGGCCAGAGACTGGGTAGTGTTTTAGCTTTGAAAATAGGTCTGCCTCTCACCATCAAATATACCCTTTATTTGGCCACAAGTGCACTATTTTTGATAACTATGATAGTGTTATAGATATCACAATTTGATTATGAAATATAACTATTAAGAATATAAAATCTCTAAGGCAGGGATATATCAACTCAAGAATTTCTTGCCCAGCTCTCTTTAATCAGACATTCAAATGATCAAAGAGTTATACTAGAATTATTATGAATAGGTTATAAATATTCTTTGATACAAACAATAAGATTCTAAAGTTGATAATTTGGTTCTGACTGTAGAACCCCACATGGAGTCTGGAAATGTTTGCTTGATGAATCAGAGAAAAAGGCTAAACGACGGCTGGCCATTTCAGAAGAACTTCAGGGACAAATGGGTGAAAGTATGAAGACTCTTAAATCAAACAAAGCACAAGTCTTTAAAAAGGTATGACAATATATTTTGCTTAACACTGCCTATGAGGGGAAATAGTTTTATAACCTTAATGGAAGGGTGAAGCTGACAAAATGAAGTTCTGTTTTTAAGCACAATGACAATTGCGTGTTTCAGACTTCTCTGTTCAAAACATTAATCACTGCACTTCAGTTTTGTATTATCATATGTTAAAACTAAATACCTAAGTATGTGGAACTGGTTTGTTTGAGTACTAGTGAGAATTTGTTTTGCACTCAGTTCAGATTTTATGGGGGAAGAAGGCTGTTAGAACAAAGCTAATCAATGTATTAGGAACAAATAATTATCATGTTGTATTTTTCAATAGTTTATCTTGTCAGTTAATACTAATTCCAAGAATAGAATAACTAATGATAAACAACTAATTTTATTAATCCCTATTTGAAAATGATTTTCAGCAGTTGACTAATTGTGACCCTAATTTGGTTTTATCAATTGGGTTGATAATGTAAATTGACTACCATAAAGAGTTTCAAAGCAGATCTTTTGAGTATTATAAAGGCACTTTGCCATTCACTCTGTCAAAGGGCTAACTCTCAAAAGTAAGCTTTGTTCAAAACTCTTTATGGTGGTCAATTTACATTTATTTATCAACTCAGGGGATGAAACCAAATTACCCTGTTACTCTCACGGATGTAGCACCACAATTTCTTTAGAAACTTACACCCTTTATTAACTGCAACCCGAGTTCACAATATTGTTATGTGAAATGTGTGAAAATTAATTTGGATTCATTTTCTTAAGTGTCAAGAACTTACCCAAAAAATTCATGAGGAGCTTTTTGAGACAGTGCGTGAATTATCAAAGGTATGTTGTACAAAATGATTAATCATTGTTATTGAATTGATCACTTTCTAGGAGTGTTTGAATGTTCAACAGAATAGTTTAACCATTGATTCATCCTAGGCTAAAAAGGGTTATGAAGAGATGGAAAAGTTGGCTCAGGTAGCACGAGAACAAGCAGCAGATGCTGAAGACAAGTAAGTCTGAGTCTTCAGTGCCCAGTGATCCATTAAAGAAAAGAATTAGCATTAACTAAAAGGAAATAACCCCAAGTGGAATCCACTTTGGTCTGTAATCATACAAGCTATCAACAACACTGGATAATTGTGAAGTGGGAGTCTGATTTGTTAATTTTGAGCATAATTACCCCCCAAAATAGATGACACTCCATCCTGTTGCCTGTTACTAATAAAACTTTACAATGACTTGTTGCTATGGTTACTATAATAAATCCAGTGTTTGGTGGGTTTATTTGAGATAGTATACTTGAAGTGTGACTAACAGAATGATGTAACTGTTAGATTATATGTGTCCAATAACACATCTGTAGAATAATTTGTAAAAAAAAAGCAAATCACAAAATTTTATTTGAGAAAGATGTAATGATATTGTAACATTGATAACAATAGTATTTAAAAGACTATCACAAATTATAAAATACTGCATGTCAAGTGAAAACATTAAGTATTCAGAATGAAGTCAAAATTTCTATGCTTTATTCAAGGGAAAATTCAGTGTTCAAATAACTGTAAAAGTATTTTCCCTTAATATATATTATATTGTTGATTTATGAATTTCTGTTGACAGGCTTAAAAAGAAAAATGTCAAGTTTTTCCAGTCCAAGCAATCATTAGAGAAAAACTTAAGCAAGGTATAGTGTAAAGATGATTTTTTTGTCTTATGACACATTGAATTTAAATGTGATGTGTACTACTGACAATTGCTTTCAATAATGTAAATTTCACTAAAATTAAAAATTCAGAAACTTAATGTCAATCAATGGAGAATGTTTTACATTGTTCTGTGAAGCAAACATGACTCTTACTCTTGTTTCACAGAGCTCCGGTCGACGTGAGATGTGTGAAAGAAGGACAGCAATGGCCAGAAATGACTACATCCTATCACTTGCAGCAGCTAATGCACACATGACAAGATACTTCTGCAAGGAGTTACAAGAAATTATGTCTGTAAGTTCATTATTAATACATGGAGGCGCAGGGGGGGCCTCATGGTTGGTGCACTCGACTCCAGATTGAGTGGTCCGTGTTTGAGCCCCAGTTCGGGACATTATGTTGTGTTTTTAGGCAAGACACTTTACTCTCACAGTGCCTCTCTTCACCCAGGTGTATAAATGGGTAACGGAAAATTTAATGCTGGGGGTAACCTTGCAATGGACTAACATCCCATCTAGGGGGAAGTAGAAATACTACTATTCACTTCATGCTACAGAAACCGGAGTTAAGTGCTGGCCTGATGGGCCACTGGCTCGTAAACAGACTTTACCTTTTTACCTTAAGTTTATCAATATGCTGGCATCACAAATCATAACATACTGAACATAGTACACGTTGTCTGATTTGTCAATTCAATTTTTTCGAGAATGAGATGTTCCATTGTATCAATTTTCATTAACAATTTTACGTGATTGTTCTCTACACAGACTCTAGATGGGGACTTTTTTGACCAAATGAGGGGATTTCTCACCACTCTTGGCCAAGTTGAAGTAGATGCATGTAGGGCTGCAATAACAGGCTTTGAAGCTTTGGTCTCTAATGCTAAAACTGTAAGTGGTAAAGGTTTCATACTATAGTTACCTAATGCATACTCTACTAGAACCAACAAACTGCTCTGACAATTCTGTCATGTATCGTGTCATTGTACATCAAAGTAGAGGCAAAGCGTTTAGTCAGTGTGAACATGTTAGCTGGGAATCAGGTAGTGTGTGATTGTTGCTATTATTGCCGTTGCTATGTAGTTCAATAACATCAAATTTCTCAGTAGAAATAAGTAACTGGACAACATTCTGTGAATAACCTTCATGCTGCAATACATATAACTATTGTTGCAGAATTTATTTATGGTGGATTGTTTTGAACCATTTTTTACACTTGTAATTTGTTCTGGAAGGTGAGTGTATAGCATAGAGTAAAATTAGTGGATGAAAAAAATTACCTAGGAGGTGATTATCAGAGTGATAATTGTGTATCATGTTCTTTGAATTCATTCCTTTCACTTCTTTTAAAAGCATTCAAGAAATGACAACTTTGAAAGTTGATGCCTTTGACTCATACTGATAATGTAATATGATATGAAGCAATCCACAAGTTGGAGCAATGCACATCCCTTTGGTTAATAAACAAATGTATCATACTTGCTAGATATAATTTAATGGACAGGTATAGTATTTTTGTTTTTTTAGCCCTATTTATCAAAAACAATAATTTCATGTCTATTTTGTGTTTCCTTTTCAGATTAATAGAGATACATCTCGTCAATCATTTTTAACCAAAAACAAAGTATTTTCAGAAGTTGTTCAATATGATTTTGAATCCTGCAAAAATGATAAGGTAACTCATTGTCTAGTCAAATGAACATATGTAGTCCTAGGTTGTTAGAAATGGAGGATGACAGGAGCATGTGTTTAGTATGATGAGGTGAAAATTCAGATACAATTAAAAAAAAAATAGTTCCTATATTTCTGCACCATGAATTGATGTAGTCTAGTCTTTAACTTTAATTTGTTACTTGAAACAGGTGTCTTGATTTTATCAGATATGAATAATTAGCTTTTAAAATTTTCATTAGGTAAGACAGTTAACACTTGAAAAAAATGCCGGCCTAGCACTCAACAAAGAAGCGAGAAGGCTGGCAATGAGACTTGCCAAGGATCAGATGACCTTGAAGACAAAGGTCAAACAACTTCAAGCTGTTAAAAATGTAAGCATGTGATAATCTGAGTGAGCAATTCTGTTGTCATTTTTTCAAACTTTTTAGTACAGTTTGAAATGTCAATAATTGATAAAGATACCTGGTTCAAATCTACAAAAATTAGAAAAAAAGGGACTGAACTGCAACATATGATTTGTTTTAACATATTTTATGACATAATAATATTGTTATTAAAATTGTGCTAAACAGGTAAGCTTGTCAGTCAGTGATATCTGTTTTTGGACTGTTGAAAAGATGAAGATTTCCTTTGATAGGTGAGGCTTATACCAGATTAGTATAGCACTGAAATGTATAAATTACAATCACTGTAATACACATGAGTAACATCTTTGTTTCTTACTCCCTTAAATGACCCCATGTAAAAATTAACCAGAGGGAAGATGCAGTCATGATGATGATTGTAATACATGATTTATTAAATAGTGTTATTAACCAAATGGCTGTCATTTTAACTCATTTTGAAATAGGGTGAAGATGTAACCTCAACACCAGCTGCAGATGGAAATCAAGATGTTGAACAGAGTCCTGAGATGTTGAAGGAGAGCATTAGACTTATTGAAGTGGGTCTTAAACTGTCACTACACCAATGTAATACATACACCCTACTAACTGAGTTTGAAATAATTTGAATATATCAACAAAGTTGAAATGGTAAATGGGCCACCGTTACGATTATAAAAGCTGACGTTTCGAGTGTTAGCCCTTTGTCGGAGCGAATAGAGGAATTGTGGGTTGTGTGTGCTTTTAAAGGCAGAAAATGGAGCTACGTTGTTGGTGGGAACATGGCAACGAGAAACACACGAATAAATTAGTGGAACGAAAAGTGTTCGTTGATACCTGTGGGATTTAGACTGCTGGTTTGAGATGCATACTGTAAGTTATTAAGGACCAAGGTTTCCTGCTCAGATTTATGGCCCAAGAGTGAAGTGCGGGGGCAGTAGATGTGAGTGGAAAAAACAAGGCTCCAAAACTTACAGTAAGGACCAAGATTATATGGGTAATATTGCTGGGTTTAAATAGAAGGAGAAGATTTCAATTCAAATAAACTGTTGTATTCAACAGGCTGTCCAGTGAAAGACAGTAATATTATTCTGCAAGATTTACCTTAGGCATAGAGAGATTAATTAGTGAGGGAGACATTGAGACTTGCTGTGTTGTTACATTCAAAACTGAACTGATAACAGGTTGGAATGATAAATGAAACAGTGCCTGAACATTTGTGGAAAGAGGACATCACCCAATGAAACAGCTTTTCTTTTCTTTTATTTATTTCTAGACAAGCAAGTTAAAAACAGAGGCATGCTTGGATGTCTTGCGAGAGGCTGGAGGTACTGTTTTTAACAATAGATTTCAGGATAGTCATTAAAAATGGTTAGTTGTCACTGTACCCATTTTACAAGGAAAAGATTCAGCATATTTTGAAAAATGCTAAGTAGACAGTGCTCTATGACATATAATCAAGACAACCTTTTTCTCAAATAAGTTGAATGGTAAATGAAGTAGTGTTCAATATCTAGTCATAGGTAAATTACACTGACCATAAATTTGTTTTTTTCTTTTATCAGTTAATGTGGACGAGTGGATGAAGAGTGCTAATTCATTGTCTCCAAATGACATGGATGCTGGTGAGTTTTTCTTCAACTGTTTGTGTTGTAATTGTTGCGAGGACAGCATGCAGGTTTATCTTGAATCACAGATCATTTTAGAGGTTTGTTACATAAATTTGAAACTTGAACAAGAAGTGATCTGGAGGTAATTTTCTTTCTGTTGTTTTTAGTTTGATGTACTTGCACTTTAGTTATCTTTCATAATTTTGTGGAGTTTTAACAGCCATTGTTGTTTAACTTTCCTATCCTTTAGAACATAATGAAAATATTTCTTGGTGTTAAATGTCATACCCTTTAGATTTTCATGGAAGTGAGAGCTCTCTGAACTCATTCAGTGATGATTTTGGTGACACATTTAATGACGACTGGGAGGATCTTGATGATACTTTCACTGCAGACTACTCATCAGATGACGATGCACGAAGTGTTTCATCCAACTGCTCTATTCCACTTTCTTGCATCGCTTTGTACAACTATGAAGTATGTGACTTGCGCTTTTCTTACCTTTTCTACTTATTAACCTTTTCTGGCCAAATCCACAATCTTATTCTTTTAAGTGATGATCATACATTTCTCTGTAGATTTTTTTGGAAATTTTGGTGTTTTTGTCATTATTAACCCCAAGTGTAAAATTTCAGTTGCTTTGTGATAATGTTTGAAAATATTTCTTAAAATAATTGAGATACTACAAGAATCTGATTGGTCAAAAACCCTTTGTTCATTGCACTTGGAAGGTTTGTAAATCACTTGCCTCCAGCCCCACCTCCCGCATCTGACCACAACATCAGAACTGGCTGAGGTGTGAGTTCCCATTGGGACTCAAATTTTCCTTTTGTAAGTTCCAAGTGCAACATTTTTTCTCGTTGTTTTTTCTTTTTTCTCTTTGCATGTTCGGAGTCCATTTATTTAAGTCTTTTCACTCTGTAATTATACTTCTTGTTACATTAGTGCTTTTCTTTGTTACTTCATTGCCACCTTATGTCACTCTGTGCTGCCTGCATAATTTATCATGTAATATACCTGTTTTCTTGTTTTCACTAAGCACAGTTAAGTAATGTTTCTGTGGCCGTAACAATCTAACTAAGTATTTTATAGTCCTCTTTCCCTTTTGTTGTTTGTTATTTCTTTAGGTTGTATTTTGTGTAACTAGTGTAACTGTTTGTTATTTTCTTTAGTTTCAACCAACATTAAAGAATATTATGTTTTCATGAAAGATGCAGAGTTGTCATTTCTTAGCCACAGATTTCACATAAGTGCAGTTTCACCTTTGTTACATCCTCCTAACAATTTGTTCAGCTTCCTTCTTTCACTTAATGATTGGCATATTAATGGATTTTTTTTGTTTTTTTTTTTTTTTTTACATTTTGTTTTAGGCAACAGATTCTGATGAGCTGTCCATTACAGAGGGAGAAGAACTAGAAATCTTGGAAAAAGAGGGTGATGGGTGGTGCAAGGTGACAAATTACTGTAAATTAAACAATATGCATGGTACCTGTCAATAATTAGGAGACAGAATGGCCTAAATTGCTTACTTAAGAGTCAAGAGGTGCAGGTTGGAGACCTGGCGAGATTTTTGTGCTGTGTTCTTGGACAAGGAACTTTGCTCTTACATTGCCTCTGACCTCTAAAGGTAAAGTCTGTTTGCAAGCCAAGTGGCCCATCAGGCTGGCGCTTAACTTTGGTTTCCATAACATGAAGTAACAAGGAGTATTTCAATGCTAGTCCTTCACATGGTTTACTCCCAGCATTGAGTTCACTGGTACCCATTTAAACACCTGGGTGAAGAGATGCACTGTGAGTGTAAAGTGTCTTGTCCAAGAACACAACATAATCTACCCAGCCAGAGCTCAAACCCAGACCACCTGATTGGGAATCGAGTGCACTAACCACGAGGCCACCATGCCTCACACTTAACCTTGCAAACTTTCATTATGTTGAAAGCCATTCGGCTCCACTGCACACTACTTGTTGATAGGACCATATAAGCAAAATTAAGAAAAGTTTTTAATTTCTATTTAATATGAAATTCTCATGACAGGGTAGAAACAAAGCAGGCATAGTAGGATATTTCCCTGAGTCATATGTTGAAGTTGGATCAACAGCCAATAATTCTGCACTTTCAAGAACAGCTGGTGATTCTCACACAGATGGTCACTATCAACTGAATGGGTCACCATCTAGTGTCTCGAGCCTAGCACAATCACTGTCTGCTTCAATGACAAAAAAATATAGTGAGTTTCTTTTACTTGTATTGTCTTGATTAAAAATCTCCAACATTTACTGGCCTGGTAAACGATACTCTTGACTCCTGTAATTTGTTTTAGCGTCTTCTTCGAATTAGGGGATTTTATGCCGTGTTCATCTTAACATGGTGATGCTCTTTAAAAACATATTAAGATACTTTATGTGAAAACTGAATGAGCCTTCTTTATGTTGATGTGTTAATGTACAATTAATTTAATAATTATTTTTATTTTAAGTTGTTCTGCTTTTCCTATTAACCAAGCTGGTGGATCACTGAGACTCTGTCTTGCCCTTCTCCTTACAGTCTGATCATGGTCATGTATTTTTACAACAGAGAGTATTTCAGGGCTTTTCTTAAATGGTTTTCAACAACAGGTTGATTTCAGTACTGTTGTTTCAGTTTAAGTAACATATACATGTCGAGTAAACAGATTCCATCTCGGTTATTACCCTGTGTCATTCATTACTCTTACTGGAAAAAAATGATGCAATACTAATATTATTAGCTATCACTACTCTCACTATGTAACTGAATATAAATTTGACCTTTTTCTTGAAAGTATGTTATGTCAGAGCATTATATGACTATGAGGCAATGAGTGACGAGGAGCTATCATTCAAAGAAGGTGATATTGTTGGAGTGCTACAGAAAGATGACAATAATGTTGACGATGGATTCTGGTATGGTGAGTTCCAGGGAAGGAAGGGCGTTTTTCCATCCCTTGTGGTGGAAGACTTGCCAGATGGATTTCAAACAACAAATACAAACATGAATGTAACAGACTCCGTAACAACAACTTCATCCAGCAACACCAGAGCTGGAGATTATGTAACATTGCCGTTAGATTACCAGGCCAGTACCATGGCATCTGTGCCAAGTGCATTACAACCTGTAAGAAAAGCCCCCCCACCCCCTGCTGCCTCTCCGCAAATCCCAAGGAGCACAACCATGGCTACTGGGGGTGCAAGAGCTTTACTACCACCTACTGATCGCCAAAGAGCATGAACTGAGAACTCTAAGACAATGAAAAAACCAGATCCTCCAGCATTTACAAGAAGTCCATCACTTCAGTCAAAACTGTATGAAAACATAAATCAGTTGGCACCTTCCTCATCAAAGCCTCCTGATTATGTCAATGTCAAAGATCTTCCATCAGCAAGAATGAATGGTCCATCATCTTCAGGAAATAGTTCTCTAAGTGCCCCTAGGCCTATGGCAAGATCTCGTCGACCAGCTCCACCCCCAAAGCCTCCTCCACCGACTGCTGCCAGCAGATCTGTATACAGATCACAATCATATGTTTGAAATTGTTCATCCTCAGAGAGAGGAAACTGGCCTCTTTTAGGCTTCAAAAGGAGAAGGCAACCTGCAAGATTGATCTTAAGATATTTACTGCAGTCCCTAAGGACCTTTTTCCAAAGTAGTAATTTTTATATTCTTTTATAATGAAATCACATATATTAGACCTCTGTCCCTAAACCACTTCTCAAGAGTTTTGTTTTAAAAAATTCAGCTTGAAAGGCAAATAGATACTGAGATGATAAAATGTTTCTTTACTTTTAGAATAACAGATGTTTGCTATTTTGAAGACTCTTTGTTCTGTTTGGCCATTGGCTTTACAACAGGCAGGAAAAAATTTGCATCTGTCAATTTTTAGCTATATTGATCAAAACAGTATTTGTGGGGATTTAAAAGTGGCAGTGTGTTGATTTGTAGAACTCAGTCCCCCTTAAACATTCTCTGTGCTGTAGAGATGTCTTAAGTGAAATTTAAAGCCATTGTTAATATTATTAATTGAAACAATATGTTAAATTGTTCAGTTAAATTCTATTTATTGCATAGAACCTTGATTATTCCAATGTAAATTAATTCATCAAAATAGACACTTAATAACCAAATAACAAGCTTGAATTAATTTCCTTCCAAGTTAAAGTTATTGTACAGTATAGATTGTTTTTTGTGACTCTTCAAAATTTGTCACAGGTAGTTCAAATTGTATCCATTCCAAGCACAATTCTCTAAAATTCAGCAATGCAAGGGTATAGCACCTTCTACATCAGCAACTTAGCAAGTCCTAGCACATAATTTTCTTGAAAAAAATTAAGGACAGCACTGTGTGTTTCCTTCTTTATTTTTACTCTCAGAAAGCTACAATTGAAGGGGCCCGCATAGGGTATAAAAATTAATGTAGAATGGAAACAGTTTTGGTTAATATAGCACACAAGGTTATCTTTAGCCCTAAGTCTGTTTTCCTGCTCACCATCTCCATACCTTAGGACCTGAAAGGTTACAGGTGAATTTTTAATTATCTACTTAATAAAATATTTCTATTAAGTATCTTATTTTCTGGCTGTGCTAATTCAAATTATTTTTATTCTCATATGTTAAACTGAATGTCTGTGGCATATTTATTTCATTAGTTAAATGATACAAATCAGAACCATCCTTTCAGAACATTTATTACTATTGCAACTTTGTGAAAGAGAAACCTAGTTTGTTGTTTTTAAAACAAAATTACATTGATTTCATGTATAGTGAAATAAGTGCAATAATTATATGATATACTTGTCTTTTCTTTCTTTCTTTTTTTTTCCAAGTAACAGTATGAGTAGTAACAGTCATGTGAATTTCCAAAAAAAAGAATTTATTATGGGAGGTTGGTCCTAATATATTTCAATGCAGAGAACTAGAGTACATTTTAAGTTACTAATTGTAAACTAATATGCCATGGATGACTTTCTCACCATTAGCTAATAGTTTTTCATGTATCCAGAGTATTTAAACTGGATTTGATTTGTGGGCAAAGGTTACAGAATTTATCCAGATGCTTTAGAATATTGTCAGTAGACTTGCAAAAGTGTGCGATGTGTATCCTGGACCAATAGTTGGTCTTGAAAATTAGCTGGTCTGATTTTCCTTGCCAGGTTTGCAAGAGATTAGCTTAAGTGGTGCATGGATAGACTGAAAGGACTTTTGACTTCAAAGTAGGTGTTTTTTTTATGAAAAAGGCAAAGTGTTCATAGAATGGAATAGGAATACTAATGAGACGAAAAAATTGTTTAAATCATAGCTGCAAACAATGTCATTTTTCTCAAAATTTCAAAATCTTTAATGACTTGAGAAGATCTTGGCTTGCCACTTGAAAATAGTAAAGTATCAGGATCAATTGTCTCATGACAGGCTCACTTAAGATGTGGATCATGAAATTTTGACAGCAGACTACTACTCTTCTTTCAGCTTCAAGGTCAACTGGTTGTACATCATCCAATGGGATGCCAGTTAACCTCTGAATGAAAAGAAGACATTCATGTAGAATGTCATTTTATACCATGATCTTCTTTGTACAGTGCAGAGGCCCAAATATTGAGACAAACCATAATACAGCACTATTTTTACACTTCATACTAAGGATAACCTCTTACATTTTCTGTGATGTTATCTAGGTTTATGTTTCAGGTATCAGTAACTGTTTTCTCTAAAGTGATTATAGCACACAGACCATTTATATTATTATTATTATTATTATTATTATTATTATTATTAATCTAGCAGATTGCAATTGAAAGGCAATGCAAAATTGATTGTTTCCAGGCCCTGTTTATAAATCACGCGCAATCACCCATTTTACTCACTATCAGCTCCTCTTCCCTCAACTCCTTGAAAATGAATGTCATCTGAAGTACTACCTCTACAATATTATTGTATGATGAATAAACAGGACCTTGCATCAGTTGCTAAGCAAATGCTCTATGATAAAGTTAAATTCACTGGTACTGTCCAAGGAAGTGATTATTGTAAAATGTAAAGTGTATAAAGCTGTCTGGTTATAAAAAAGAGTAAACTTGCAATTTGAGAAATGATCGAGTCAGTACTCAGTGTAACTCTAATTTTTACTTAGAACAGACAAAAATGCACCCCTCCAGCAGTAGCCACATGGACAAAAGCCCCTTAAAGATACTAATCAATAGTTACAAAGCTGATGCTATTCAACCGATGCATTGAGAAAATAGTACCAAGATAGGTGCAGTTTTGTCCATACTTATGACAGACTGTAACTTTCCTGTAGTATCTCCTGAAATCAGTAGTCACACTGACAGGCTGCTAACAGACTGCTAACAGACCGCTAACAGTCAAAAGGGAGGGTTGTCATTCACAATTGCTGCTAACAACAGTGGAATGTGATTGTCAGGATGAACAGGTCAACACAACTGTTAATGGTGAATGTGTTCGATATTTTAATGAGTAAAGTAATCTTCACTAAACTCTGATGATGACTTCAGCTCTAGTTCAGAGTTAGACATTTCATTCAATCAAGGATGAATGAATGTTCACACCCTACTTCCAGATTTATACTCCAAATTAAACCATTTGGTGAGTCACTTAAGAATATATGACAGCATTGCTGTCTTCAGCTGATTCCCACCAAACAATGCAAGCTTATCTCTGTCAGCTTTGGTTAAGAAAGGTTTCTTCTATCATCCAATATGAGGAGTCCTGATAACTGTTTGTTGTCTATTCACAAAGATCCTGACTCTATTTTCTTCTAAAGTGCAAATAACAAAGCTGTTTTCAGGAATGATTTGAATCTGTGAAACAAATTGAATATAAATATAAGATTCAAGTAAGTGAAAGTTTGCATTGGTCAAGAAGCTTATTTACATTTCTCATGGTATTTCATGTTAAAGTACGCATTGTTCATCCTAATGAAACACTAATGAGTTCACAACACTAGACTAAAACATTCTACTGTGGCCTTAAAAAACATGAACTTTGTTATTAATTTGCGTCTCAAGCTAAGAAATGATCCTCATCATAGACTGACTGCAATTTAAGCAATTGCCTAAGAGAAGCCTGAAAAAATTCAGCCTTTGCTGGGATTTGAGCTCATACTCTCCAGTCACTACTTGGGAACAATGTTCCTTCCACTCCATTTCTCTTGTGGGGGAGGTTAAGGTTACATGTAGGCTTCAGTTGGGAACTACTACCAACTGAGCTATGGGAAAAATTAACCCTCTAAACTTGCCTCACTCCCATCATGGGTCATTTCGTAGTCCAGTTGGTAGCAGTGCCCAACTAGTGTCTGAGAGGTAAAGGTTGGATCCTGTCAAAGCCTTATTTTTTCAAGCTCTTTTTATGACTTAAATTACAGCACACCTGCAGGGATCATTTCTTTGTTTTTAGAATTTTCATCCCCAAGTCAAAATGAAATTTATTTCTGTCAATGAAAAAATTGTGATTTATTTGTCTTCATACCTGGCCATTTTACAGTTGTGTACTTAGTTGCCAAGCCTTTGATTCAGAGTGAGGCTAAAGATGACCTTGTTGTGATGGAGACCTGTATCTAGTTAGCATGATAACAAAGTGATTTACATTTGAAAGGCAGCAAGGTTTGTATCATAACAAGGTCATCTCTAGCCTCACTCCCATTCAAAGGCTTGGCAACCAAGCACACAACTGTAAAATGGACTATTGCTAAGGTCTTCTAGGCAACTGTTGTTGGGTTTCCCCACACAACATGCTCTCTCAAATTACACAAAGGAATTATTTACATCACCTCATTCCCTAATTAAACCTTTTTTGAATTATTTTGAAAGGAAAAGCCAAATCATGACTGTGAAATTTAACCTGCTCTTCTGGCCATTTCATTAATTACACAGGAAACTGAAATTGGAATGTAACATTTTTAATCAAGGCTTCTCTATGTTTGCCTGCTTTTTAAGTGAAAAGAAATGTTTAGGCAAGTTAATTTTTTTAAATGATGTGAATGTATTTACTTTTAGTCCTGGATGCTCCTTGTCGATAATTGTGGTTGCTTCTTCAGCATCCTGAAAAGAGGTTTAGTTGAAACTTTCAACTTTATGAGTCGAATAACTGAACTAATCATCATTAAAATAATACTTAAAAATTATTAATTTTTCCAAATTTTAAAATTGGTGACAAGATATGTTTTTATCGCGACAATCGGGGAGGCATGTGTAATTTAAGAAGAAAAAAGAAACAGCCTTCGGTAGTCCTGAAGTTGAAGTTCATTTGAAGTTGAAGTTCATTTATTTGTTTAAGCAGGTTGATTAATTGGCAGCTGTAATAGCTGATGTGGACCTGCTGTCGTAACCCACCTATCCCACCCCAGGGGAGGACATCNCCGGCCGGGGCTCGAACCCTCGACCTCCCGCACTACAGTCCAGCGCTCTATCCACTGAGCTAACCGGGAGGCCTCAAATCAATAAGTTACAGCTATCTCACCGTATTTGAACAAAAGGTCACAATATTCATATGTTTTGTCGTCACGAGATTGAAAGCAGCTTGCGTTTATTTACATTCGTTAAAATGGGACTAAAAACGAATTCAAACATTCTGTACTACCTCTCAAAAGGGACTGAAAATAAAGCTTGGAGTATCAATCGATAGCCTAGATTAACTTTACTTTAATAATGCATGCACTGACTTCATTATTTCTCGCTGCATGCTTGATAAAAACCTCACGGTACTTACCATGTTTCATCATCAATCATTGAGTTATCTTCATCGTAAAGACGCTGAGACAAAACTACTTGATTCGCTGATAGATTTGAACTAAAAATTTAAAATTTTCCGAGGCTTGAAACACTGTCCCCTCGCTAGAAAAAGGTATAACCAGGGAGAGCTTACTTTGATGTGCTCGTTTTCACGAAGTGCATAACTAGCCAACCTTTTGGTTCCCATGTCACCGGCAAAAAATATCTTAAAATTGAAGTTTGTTACCTTTCCTACAAGTTCTGGCCATTCTGTCTTGGAGATTCTTTGTTTTTCCTTCCATCTGAATAATTTATTTCTAAGAAAGGACATTTTAGGTTCGTGGTTTTGTACAAAATCATTCGCATAAAATCGATGTAAACAATGACAGTCAGACGAGTCTCATTCTGATATCGAGGCTATTTTTGGCGGGAAGGGGAACAATTCCTTTTACCTCCCCTGTTTTTCCGAGAAAATGAAATCGGTTCGCTTCAAAATATTTTCCGTTTCTGGCTACAACGCTGATTACGGCTAGGTTCATTCTTGATGTACAGTTTCAAACTTATAGTTGTCAGGAATCTCAGATGAATCAAGTGTAACCTTTTAGGTGAGACAAAACCTTGTAGGAATGTACGCGGATGTACACTAGCATTTTGCCACAAATAATTGCAACGAAATCCACGATATTTCTTTCATGAGGATTAGCCGAAGCGATCCATCCATTTTATATTAGTATTTCTTATGTAGTGATTCATATTGTACGTGTAAAAGGGTGAAGTGATTTTAAATGCAACGTTAAAAAAGAGATTCAATATTATTCTAAACACACAGTGGAAATCCCGAAAAAAACACAACTCAAAACAATATTGGGTTATATCAGCTCAGTTAAAATTGTAAATTGGCCACCGTAACGAGTTAAAAAGCTGACGTTTCGAGCGTTAGCCCTTCGTCATTGTTTATAACAACTTTATTGTAATAATCAATACAAAAGCCGGGCTGCCATCAGAGAGGAACTGAATCCTCATGACGAATTCGAAGGGCTAACGCTCGAAACGTCAGCTTTTTGACTCGTTAGGTGGCCAATTTACAATTTCAGTTTTAACTACGCCGCATCACAGTAACTTTCACCCTTTATTCAAAACGACATTTGTTTGTTACTTGAGTGAGATCATTATATAAGTTAATAGAAGTGACAGAAAATTGAAATAGCAAACCCAAATATGGGTTTTTCATTTTAAGGATTATCACATTACTCAAACAATGACGTAAGTTTGATACTTAGTCGGAAACCACCTACCCCTCCCCGGAGCGTTCAATATTATTCGCAAATATATGCAGGATCTAGTTTCAAGGCTGGCTGGATAGGTTTACTCTCGTTCTTCCGAAGACAGGTCATCTAGTCAGCTGCGGTTTTTGTTGATGTATACTTATGGAGAACCAAACTTTTGCAGCAAGTTATCATCGTTACGGTAGCCAAGAGCAGCTGGTTACAGAAATGAACGACAATGATGAAGAAGATGACGATTTTGATGAAGAAGATGATGAAGATCTCGAAGACTGCGAGGATCTGAGAGAACAGGCGTACGACTTTGTTCAAGTCGCTGTTTCTCCTAAGCATATTCATTTTGTTACCGACGCTTCTCTCAGTTCGTGGAGTGATCCAGAGGAGGTCTTGGAAAGAAGCACTCGTTTAGGGTAAATACTTAAGTATTCAGGTGTAAAACTTCCTAAAAGATTAAGTCACATGTACTAACCATCTGCCTCAGTTGTTTCGAATTGTTTCTTAGGCGCGCGGACAATCTCTCTAGACATGCACATACAACAGCCATCATAGTCTCAATGTAAAGAAACAATTAAGATTAAACAATTGAAAGTATACAATGCGATTTATTAATCTTTAAACATAACCTGTTCGGGATTAATGTAGTGTTACACTTACGCTTTACATGTCAGAAACTAATTTCCTTATAAATAATTTACATAATAAGTGCTGCCAAGTGAACTTTGATGAGCTGGATTGAAATAATTTTGCATCACGATGGCAAGAAATCAACAAATTAAAACTGGTGTGAGCTATAACCTTTGCGTGGGCTTACACAAATTTTGACTGCTCGCATGATGAACGTTTCATCTCAATTAGTATTAGAAGTATCTTTTGTTGCGCGCCACTGGACGTCGCTTTCTGCATTAGATGAATAGTTCCTAATTTCATTCCATTTCTTTCTGTGTAACAGGTGGTGCTACAGTTTTTGTTGTATCAGTCATAAATCGAGTGCCACCACTGATCTACAGGAAAAGACTAGCGCTATAAAGTGCTACTGAAACGTAATTTTCATATCCGAGATTTTTGCAATATAATAGAGTTTGAACGTTATTTGCAAACGCTGTGTACTTTTTTTTGGCCAACGCATAGCGGAAAGTACATTTTTAACCATTCAAAGTTGACCGGCTGAGATCAAAATTGGCGGCCATCTTGGCGCGGCCAAAACAGCCCTGTGACGTCACTGGTTGTGTACTTCTGTGAAAGAAGGGTGAAAGCATGGACTGTGGCTTGCATGTTAGGAAGCCGAAAAAGAGGATTTCGGGCAAAATGCCATCCTCATCTTCTTCATCGGCCGCCATATCGGCATCTTGGCTATCTGCGAGAGGTTCGCCTAGATAGGGAGCAAAATTCCCAACTGATACCGAGAACGAATCTCTACCAGTCTATTTAGTTAATCGGCAACTGACGAGATGCACAAGATTAGGATCGAAACCGCGGTCTTGCCTGACCATCTGCAGAAAATGTCGAAAGACATTATAATGGCAGATGGGCTACTAAACGCCCCGGGCCAAAGCAATGCCATTCAGAGAATGAAGAAAACATGGAAGCCTCATACGACACCGCCACTGAAGATGATCTACTCGGCAAGTCTGAGCACAGGCGGCCCAAGCTCTCTTTGAGAACCACACAAGGAACACAATTTGCATATCGATTTATAAGGATTTGTATGGGATTTTCTACAAGATGGCCATAGAGATAGTTAAAAGTGAAAATATTAAATAAAAATGGCTTACCTTATTCCATACGTGTGTTGCTTGCTCCTGGTGTCGTTATTTTACCGATTTCACTTGATTTAATTGGTTTTTTTTAATCCAGGTTTTCTCTTCTTAAGAAGAAAACCAGGATTAAAAAGAACCGCTTAAATCAAGTGAAATCGGTAAAATAACGACACCAGGAGCAAGCAACACACGTATGGAATAAGGTAAGCCATTTTTATTTAATATTTTCACTTTTAACTATCTCTATGGCTATCTTGTAGAAATTCCCATACAAATCCTTATAAATCGATATGCAAATTGTGTTCCTTGTGTGGTTCTCAAAGAGAGCTTGGGCTGCCTATGGTCTGAAGATAACGAACAAATCCCTCTGTACCAAATGCCAAGCAGAACATGCCCAGAATCCCTACAATAGAGGGCGAGAGCCAAAATAAGAGCAGACGAGGATTTCAAAAAATGAGATAAAGCAAATCCTTAACAACGCGGAGCAAGAAACAGTAAAGGCGATAATGTGCTTCTATGAACGTGAAATCGGTCGTTTTAATACTGAAATAAAGAAAAGGAAACGAGCCAAAACGGCTGGAACACTGAACACTAAGAACTATAGTATGATCGAATAAGGGCGCGTGACGCAAGCTGAAAGCAATCAAGACAACTTAACGATCGTGACAGTCAAAAAAAAATAGCTGTAAATCTACAAGGCGAACGATTCGAAAAAGAYGCAATCCCTGATGTGCGTACTCAGTGCCACACATAAAGCAAATTCTCATGAAAAACTGGCATTTAATAGAAACACAACCACTACTGAGCGAACTATACAAAAATCCGCCGCTCGTATCTTACAAAAGAGGGCGGTGGCTCAGACATACTCGCGAGGGCTAAACTTTGAATAGGCTACTCTAAACACACGCTGGGGAGTCGTGTAGGCCTGTCAACCCCATTTTATGCCACCATCTTTATCTTCGCTACTGGAGACAACTTCGCTTCGTTCAGAAGAAGATTCACTTGACAAAACTTCAATATCTGCCATCTCCTTCGCCCATGAATACAAACAAACAGCGAGTTAAATAAACCGCGCTATTGGAGTGAACACAACCAGTGACGTCATCAATCCATTTCGCTTGGTACCAGAACCCGGACATGGTTTTGTGTTAAAGTTTTTGATTTGAATGGTAAAAAAAGATATCTTTCGCTTCTTTTTGGCCAAAACAAACTATCTCATGATGATCAGCATATTCAAAACTACAGAGCAAAAATTTCAGATACGAAAATTTCGTTTCAGTAGCACTTTAAGCCATTAAGACTAGCGCCTAAGCCATTATTCGAGCATCATTTCTCAGGAAATCTTTATCTAATCGTCCGAATTAATGAAGAATTTTTATTTTATAAGACGTTCATTGAGAACCACATTTTCAGTATTGGGAGAAGAATCTTACCACGATTAAATATTTTACTGCAAAGCAATTGTTGAGAAAAAATAATTTTCCTTGTGTGATCTACAAGTCACAGTTACGCACACAATTCGTGCCAGTTCACTTCCCACAGAAATGTATGTGGATTAGAAAGAACAGATCGACTTACAATAACTGACAGCATTCTGCAAGCTAAACCTTTGTTTGCTAAAAGCAAAGTAAACTCGAACATGAAGTGTGTCATGAAAAGTGTACCTTAGATTGTGACTTTCACACAAAATGTAGCTGCCAGCTTTATCTTCCTTTTTCTTTGGGAAGAACATTTTGTTTAATGACGATTGTAGAAATCATATGATGTAATTCTTCCTGCCTAGTAGGAAATTCAGACATCAAAATAATGGGTACATTGTATTGTTTGCAACTCTTCATAAACTAAATGTATGGCATGGGTTTCAATTATTATCAATGAATATTCCATATTTACACAATACTTTCATCAGTTTAATGATAGCTTGTTGTAGTTTTAGATGCTTTGTTTAACCCTTTGCACTGTAACATCAGTGTCCATATTCTCCATACTCTATATTCTACCGCTCTTCTCAACGCGTTTCCCTTGGTACTGACAAGAATTCATTTCACAATCAAAGCTTCTTAATTTGAGGATTATTTCCTTTCTTCTCCTGATCTTAATGAATGACTCAACAGTCTTGCTGTAAGGGGGAATGAAATGCTGGTATTTTTCATGGGGTAAACTTGTTTTTCGCACTGCTTACTGATTTTCCTCTCCTACTGCAGGAAATTCCGAGAGTCCCTCAAAAGAGTTGTGGAGCATTTTTGTGTCAGGTTGGTAATGAAGTATGACACAGAAATCAGTGGCAATGATCTGTTATAGATTTGTCTAATAGATGAATGTTTACTCGTTTGTCTCACTATTTTTGGTCTCACTATTTAGAGTTTCTTTTATTTTATATTTAGTCAACATATGAGTCATGTCTGATGAACAAACTCATTTTTTGTTTGTTTATATTTTTTTAATTTTATTGAAACATTTTGTTAATTTTGATTTGATTTCTGTTTGGCAGAGTGTTCAGTCTCCTATTAGTATTGGCAGATATTATTATTGTCATTGTTGACTTGGCCACTGCAGGAAAAGATGAAAGGGTAAATTATTGTTATATTTTGTACAAGAAAATTGAGAACCCTGAAGATAAAATTTGGCCGTAATTTATTTAAAAAAAGTGTTCTTTTAAGTAGCCTATTTATTCTTCTTGATCATAGCCTAGTAGTTTGTAATACTGATTTTGGAGAGCTCATTCTTTCCAATTTTTTTTACTACTATAACCTCGAATTTAACCCTTTGATTAACTCGGAGTGACCAGAATTTCTCCTTACAAAAAGAATTTGTCCTTACAAAATCAATACAGTATCAAGCAGACAAATCATGAGACTGATTGGAAGAAAAATATCAATTAGGGGATTATTAGTTGATCTACCAAACTAACTCTCCAAACTAACATCATAAGAATTGTATGGCAGACAATAAAGAGAATTACTGATGAGATTGTGGGAGTGAAAGGGTTAAAAGTTCAATTTGCCAGATGGCACACAGAACATTGCCGTGAGTAAGAGTCTCCCAGAAATACAAGTTATTTCAATTTATTTTAGGGGAGCTGGGACGGCATAGTGGGAGTACCCACCTCCTATTGCTGAGGCCTGGGTTCAATTCTCAAACCTAGCATCACATGTGGGTTGAGTTTGTGGTTGGTTCCTGTCTTTGCTCCAAGGGTTTTGCTGCAGTTCCTCCAGATTTCCTCTCTCTGCAATAACCAACATACCAAATTCCAACTTAACCTTGAAACTGAGGAAACAAAGAGGCACCTTGTGAAATATCAACTGCTAAAGAATGAGCTCTCCAAAATCAGTATTACAAACTACTAGGCTATGATCAAGAAGAATAAATAAGCTACTTAAAAGAACACTTTTTTTGATAAATTACAACCAAATTTTATCTTCAGGGTTCTCACTTGTACAAAATATAATAGTAATTGTTATTATTATTACTTTATTTGTTATAAGCTTGTTTTATTCATTGATTTTTGTTCGCATTCACAACCATTTATGTTTTCCTAAGATTCTTGTTGCTTATTTTGACAAAATATTTTTGATACACATAGATAAATTGATAAATGTCTTCTCTTCATCCAAACGAGTATTTTGTAACTTAGATTCTACCAAATTTGAATTAAACTAGTGAATTTTTTTATCTTGATAGACAGTGGACCCTTGATTTGAAGTCTTGTATCAATTGCATTTCTTAGCCCTATCTGGTATAGGGAGAAGATGGAATAATGATGATCAATTCACTTGACTGTTTCATTTTTCTGTATGTCATGTTACATGTTTTTTTTCCTTTAGATTCTGGAAATATTATCCATTTTAATAGTCACCTACTTCTTAATTGAGGTCCTTTTAAGGATTTTTGCTTTAGGGTGAGTCTAAATTCTTGAGCTTGAAGCAGGAGTCCGATTTATTTGTAGTTACAAACAAAATCAAAACTATAACAAAATTCTTGAACACAATTGGTTATTACCAGCCTGATTTGAGCATTACTAAGGCAGTGTATCTATCATGCTTAAGTAATTGGACAAAATACATCAAGTGCATGCTTGTACTTAAGAAATCGGACTTATGCTTCATGGTTGTGTGATTTTGTTAATCACTTGTAGACCCTTGTATGACTACAGACCAAATGCGATTTTACTCAGTCCTTATTATTTTTGTTACTTTTTTCAATGGTTTCACTATAGATTTACTTTATTTCGTTCCAGGGAAGCCTTCTTCCACAGATGGCTTGAAATCTTAGATCTGATTGTAGTTGTGGTTTCATTCATTCTCACTCTGACCTTTTCTCTCCTGACACTAGAAGAACATGGCTATGCAAAGTGAGTATTCTGAATCAGCCAGGAACTAAGATGTTTCAGTCAGTGTAAAATATAAGATCTGAGAGAAACCTTTACAGATTGAAATGATTATCTAAATTACCTAAAGGCAATACCAAATTACATCATTTAGCTGGTTTTTCCTCTTCCTTTTATCCAAGGGGGAAATAAGAGGTTTACTATAAACAATAATTTTTTTTTCTCCTGTTTTAGACTCATTATTACTGCCCGTCTTGTGCGGATATTGCTGTTTATTAGAATTGTCACAGGAAAAGACCAAATAGAAAGAGCTACAAGAAGAATGGTATGTGAAATGAATGTAGAAAACTACATCATTAGAGATATTGATAACCCCTGCCTCTTGATAATATGTTTAGTAGTACTGTGTATTTCCTGTTTTCTTGCAAACCAGGTATCACAGAACAAAAGGAGATATCAAAAGGATGGTTTTGATTTAGACTTGACCTATGTTACAGGTCTGTAAATGTAATGTTGTTTACTAATTGCTAGTTAATGGTAACCTAGAAACTTTAAGTTTCTGTTCGCTTAAAATAGAATGATAATTGGAAATAATCTGTAAATGTATAGCACTTTGACAAAAGGCAAACAATTCCAAAAAATTTTTGAGCTAGAGATTTCTTTTGCACGTTAGGTGATGAGTAAGAAAGCAGGATCACCTATCTCTGATAGAAATTTAGATTGAATCATCATCTTTTTTTAGTGTTTTAAAATCTGCTATCTGTTCAAAAAAATAACAAGAAGGCAGGCTTGTGTTTGTCTTTATTTTAGTTTGGTTTACATCCACACACTGTCTGGCCAGTACTATTTAATGGAACAAAAAGCAAATACTGTAGCATAGTCAATCAGATCACAACATTTAGACAGAATGCTATTAGATTTAAAAGTAAGTTCTCAGTGAAAATTTATTTTTGCCTGATTTAAGTTATCATAATTATAATTATTGTTCAATTCAGACAGAGTTATAGCCATGTCATTCCCATCTTCTGGAAAACACAAGTTATACCGCAATCCTATGTCAGTAAGTGAACTACTTGCTCCATCACAAAGCTGCAATGCACAACACTCTAAGAATTGTCCCAGACATACTTTTTCCTTTCGGTATTAATAATAATAATAATAATAATAATAATAATAATTTAATATTTATATTGCACAAATTAACATGTCGATATGATCAAATGCGCATCACAACACTGTTCGGGGGACTTTGGCCAGACTGCATCAGCAGTTTACAAACAATCGAAGGAAACTTATTTGAAGATGCCCCCTCCCCCCAATTCCCAGTAAACAGGCCAGACCACATCACAGTAATCTCGTGAGTGGGTTTTTTAACGTCCCCTGCCTAACCAAATTAACTAATTAATAGATGCAGGAGATGGGACCTACGGTTTATTCGTCCTTATCCGAGAAGACTAGAATGTCTATTCATTTCTTATTATAGAAAGGTAGCGCATTCTCCTCAGTTATTTTAAGACCTTGAGTGTTGGTCCAGCCGGGGCTCGAACCATCGACCTCGACCTCCCGCACAACAGTCCAGCGCTCTAACCAGTTGAGCTAACCGGGAGGCGGTTAAACAGTATTAATACAGGTATATCAAGTAGACTAGTGATGAGATTATCATTTGTGACCAAATACGAAATTCTTAGAAATAAACATTATATACAGTGTATGGTAGACATTATGGAGGACTAGTAAGAGATCTTGCATGGAGGGAAAGCATTAAATGCTAGAGATCACATTTTCTTTTTTAGTCTATAGAGCTTGTACATGTCATATGATAAATAAAATAATGCTTTCCTTTTCTCCAAGATCTCCATTATACAATTATAGTGTTAAATAAGAAAGAGAAAATTTTAAAAGTACTCAATTCAGTTCAAAGTATGTCTTTCTGATACACTATGAAATGATGTTTTATGTTTAGCAATTAAAGTAAGTGTTCTGCCTTTCTGTTCACAGGAAGTTGTGCGATTCTTGGATACAAAACATCCAGACCACTACAAAGTCTACAATTTATGCAGTAAGTTAGCCTAATGCACAGGTTGCTGAATTCATTAGATTATTAATATTATAATATTTGAATGAATTCCCTCTCAGCAATCTTAATTTTAGTATTAGCACATTGCTAGAGCCAAAATTGTCCAACCGGAAAGTCCACCTTACAGTTGATCTTTCAATTTAAACAATATTGCTTATTGTTGAAGATTTTTAACATGCTTATGTTGTATTTTTAAAAGCAACAAGATACTAGAAGTTAAATATTGAAGTTAAATATCTCAATATCCAATCTTCTACATTTTGGTGATTCAAGCATTGAAAATATGTTTGTATGTTAAACCATATCCTTTAGTTGATATTTTTCTTTCATTTATTCATCTGTCTAAAAGTTTATTGATATTGTAAAGGGAAACTTTTGGTCACTACCAGGATGTAAAATAAGGTTAAAATGAATATTCATTATTTGGCAACATCTTTTTTTAGGTCTGTTGTCATTTGAATAGAAAATTTTTTTCCTTTAAGACTTAGAATTTAAAACTTCATTGAAAGAAATTTCAATAATATTTTTCTCAAGGTGAGAGAAGCTATGATCCATCTGTGTTCCATAACAGAGTAGAGCGAGTTCTTATTGATGACCACAATGTACCTAGACTTAGGTTAGTATGATGTTTGTGAATAGCAGTGAACCCAAAAACAGAAGATTTACCCTCCATGAAAAACTAAAAGGAAATTATAAAGAATTTAAAAGTGTATTGTTATTGCTTGTTTTAATCAAATAAATTCTCCTCTGTGTTCAGAGGATTGAAGTCTGCAACCAATAAAAATTTGGCCAGAGAACTGAGCTTTTCAACAAGACCAATGACATCTGACACTTAATCAGTTCACAGATTGAAACTTCAAATCAGGGTCCAATTCCATACTGTTGTTGTAAATTGGAGCAAAGCAATAGGACCTTATTAATGGAGCAGCTGTATGCGTCAGTCAAGTTTTTTGTCAAGTTTTCAAGTTTTTGAGGCCAGCACAATTTTTATTAAAAGTGTGTTGAGTTTATATAATGTTATACTCAGGTAATGGAGTTAGTTGTGTTTGGTCATATCTAGGTGACTTACTTATAGGTAGCCAGTGAACACTTGAGAGAAACTATTAGCCAGTTTCTTCACTGCTCTTTTATCACCCCAATGGTGATTACAAGGTCCACTGTACCAATGTTCATGTTTTGAAGCTCATAGCTGTGGTCAAATTAGTGACTTAAGTGGTATGGTGCAAAATAACAATTGTGACAAATGCATTTTATTTTTAACACATAAATGTCCCAGAGATCTTACTTGTGGATTTGTTGTTTTATTTTTCAAACCATTTACTGCATTCTGACTTTGTTTCAGTCAATTGTTGTATTTTACACATAATGTGAGAGAATGGCTGGACAGAGACCCTAATAATGTTATTGCTGTTCATTGTAAAGGAGGAAAAGGTGAAAATAACAATTTCAGTTCAGTTTAAATGCAATTTCCTTCCAATTTAATTTCATGAATTTGGGAAGAAGAGCCTGAAACTGCATTACTTGACTGACTCCTTACCATTTAGTATTGCCTGAGGTGTGTTTCCTGTCTTTTTCATGTAGTTTGGTAGCCACTTTACATTTTAATCAACAACTCAGTACCTTAAGAAAAAATAAGAAATGAAAAGATAGCATTTTTCTGTTGCTTTATAGAATTTTT